GGAAATAATATACATGATAATATGATATTAAAAATGCTTTCTCAATTTATTTTATATGTAAGTGTCCCGAAGGTGCTAGTTTTTAACTCCTTTAATCTTAAAAAAATAGTTTCACCAATAATTATATATTTAAATATTTTCAATTTTGCTAATATAATAAACTATTATCGATATTCTAAATATGTTCAAATTGTTAATCGTTAATAAGTAATATTTATAAGCCCGAACTATTTTCACTAAAAATGATACATTACCTAAAGAGAAAAAATATTATAATATTATTAATATCTCAAGAAACACTAGTTATTAGTATATACTTTTGGTTGACAGTCAAATTAGTATATAATACAACTAGTTTACCAAGACTATTATAGATAAATGTATGTTATTTAATATATATATATATATATACACCAAAAAAATAATAATAATAATCTCAGATCTTAAAGTATAAAATTCACGAGGTGCACTTGCGCCAACCTTTATTGAAAGGTGACATAGAAAGTGTGGTGGAGTTGTGGTACGTTGTATGAAATTGAGGAATGAGTTGTATGTTCTTTTTACTTCAAGATTCACTTTATTCATTTATTTACTTTTATTTTTTAATTTCTAAAGAAGGATTCCAAGGTGTTTTTATTTTAATACTATTTCTACAATATTTTTAAGATAAATTTTTGCACCTGGACTTATTTCTTTCGTATGTATAATGTGAATATTTTTATTATGCAATGTATTAAAAAAATTAGATCGGGATGGGTTGACTCCGGGACATTGGTTGTCTGTTCTCTTTATATTTACCATAGATAGTAAATATGTTTAATTTGAAACTATATTATTATTATTATTATTATTATTATTATTACTATATTATTATCAAAATAAGATTATATCTTATTCAAAAGTATTTGATCAGCTTTTATTATTAGTTTAGGATTTGTCTTCATGTCAAAACGAATATTAGATCTATTTAAGAAACATTATATTATTTATGAGATGAGATGCTAATGAATCATTATTTGATATGCTACAAATCTGAGTGTTAGGAGATCGTAATAATTTATAGTTTAAATTTTTTTGTAATGATCAGAACAAATATTTTAGAATTAAATAACAGTTTTTTATAAACAAAACTGAATTTTTTATAATTAAACTTCACACATTAACCATAAGACCTTAAAGTTGTCTTTATCTTAACTCTTAAGCACTTTGTAACTTTGTATGAAAAGAATCCTTTAGTTAAACCTCCATTGTCCCCACTTATACATCACTTTACATCCTCACAGTATTGTCTAACTTGCATTTCTAACTCCTTACCACTAACTTCTGTAAATACGGGTCAAGTGGGATAAAAAATGTTAAGAATATTTTCATTCAAAAGCAACAAAAAAAGTATTAGAATTTTAATGACTAAAAGTGAACGATTTAAGATAATAGAGGGATTAGTTTTGTAACTAATAGAAACTTATATAAACTCACGCGCGTACCTAAGAAATGACGTCGCACTTGTTAAGCAATAGCCACGTGCATGACGCGTGCGCAGCCGGCTGCTTGCTATTGGTCCAACTACGTGTATGACCACTAGATGCCACGTGGTACGTTGTTAAAGGAGGTGGACACGACGTAGCTTGAGGCCGCGCGTATGATAAAACGTCATTTGATTTTCAAAATCCATTGTTTACTAGTCAACTATGAGCAAAGGGTCACCTTCTTGCCTTCATGATATCTTATCAGTCAAAATACTACCTCTCACAAATAAAAATGACATTCTACTCCTTCTTTTGCACTTGAGATAGCAAATCAATAATAATACATTTATGTTAAAACTAACAGGAATAGTAATATGAGCCGACTTTTCTTTAAAAGAAAATCAAAATTAGCTGCTTTTAACCTAAATATTCAAAAATTTAACCTTTTAACACCACTATAAATATTAACATTAACCTCCATTTGTTATTACATTCAAACCTTCACAAATTTTCAATTACTTCTCTCAAACTCTCTATATTTGAGCTTCAAAATGGTTTCTCCAAACAACCAAAAAAACTCCAAGAAACTACAAAAAAACATCTACAAACCATTCTTCTCCAAACCCTCCATCACCCTTGTTCTATCAACCTCATATATATCGTCCTATCTATTTACCACACATGTAGATTATCATAGGAATAATTCATATGGACCAAACCAATTTCAATTTCAATCCTAATTTCCATCCCAAATGTCACTCACACCCCAATCTGAAGAACATTTCTCACTTACTCGAGAATGAATGTTGCGTTGTTGAGAAGGTGAATGCAGAAATTATGAAGAAATATAATCTCTAAGATATGTGGGCTTTTAAGTCGTGTTCTAAGTATTTTCATTATGTTTTACTGTGTTTTAGATTGTATTATTTTCCCTTCAATCAATGAAATTCTAGTTATTAAAAAAATTGTTAGGTTAACCCACCCCGCTAAATGACATGGTAAGGATGGTGTGTGACAAAACTTATTTGACAATGATATGACAGACAAAAAGTTGAGGTTGCAGTGCATCAAACGAGATATCACTCTTGTCATCCCATAATGATGTGTGTGTGTATATATATATATATGATGTGTGTGTGTGTGTATATATATATATACACACACACACACATATACACATGTCAATAGGAATGAGCAAAACTACAACCGAAATTGCAAAACCAAAACCAAACCTAAATTGTCGGTTTCAGATTTGGATCTTTTAACTGAAAAATTGATATTAATTGGAATAAAAACGATTATAATTAAGAAGGAAAAGCAGCAATATAATTCCATATACAAAACACAATCGAACAAAAGTAATCGAAATAGATATGGGGTTTGAAATATTTTCACCTACAATTGAGGAATTGGAAGTGATGTGTATTTTATATCATATTTTTAACCGATCATTTATCCTAAAAATTTACAAATAAAATTTATTTAAAATGTAAATAATAATATAAATTTTTTTCTGAATTTAAATATGATATAATTTATTGAATCTACTTAATATAATATAATATAATGTAATATCATAGTTTATTATCTTGGTCATTTGAATATTTTGCTTATTTAAATATGATGTACATTTAATCCCATTTATAGTTATATTCTTTTGGAAACGACAAACGAATTAAGTGGAAGCCTACTCGCAATATTTCAACGAGCACCCCGAGTTCGAGCTCCTTCACAGGGCAAACCCATCTCCTATAGGGATTTCTAGGGAAAAATTCCCCACATGTGGCACCATGATAGCGACCGATTCGAGGTGGTCAGCCTCCCAAGAATAATAGAAAGGAAGATAGGTGAGAGCCGATTATGGATGACTATTCCCCAAGAGCAAAGATAATGAAATAGACTAAAACATACTTTTTTCTACATCTCCTTCGTAATGCAAATACATCCATATATATAACTAAATAATCCTACTACTAGCTAATAATAAGGAAAACATGTAATCATGGGTAATGAAAACGTGTACTAGTAACTAAATGGAAATATGCATGCATGATTGGAAGCTTCCAGGAGGTAAGGTTGGACTTTTTCAATTGCAAAGTAATGCCGACGTGTGAACCATATTATCAATCCAGTTGGGCCATGGAGGTGGCCTCGGGTATAACCCTAGACACGTATCAATTCCTCCGCCCTTAAAATTGACCTCGTCCTCGAGGTCCAACAAATAAATGTTTAGAGTAAAGAGGGTGTTGAAATATTCGTCAGACTGACGGAAAAAAAATCTTGAGATGTCGGATATGTCCATAGGTAGTTGTCGATGGCGGTTGTGGGAGCGGTTCCTTTGGCGATGGTGGCAATAACGGTTTTATCTTCAATTGGATTGGTGACGGTGGTGGTGTTGGCGGTGTTATCGGTGGGAGCGGTTCCTTTAGCGATGGTGGCAATAACGGTTTTATCTTCAATTGGATTGGTGATGGTGGTGATGTTGGCGGTGTTATCGATGGAGATGTCGGTGTTGCTAGTAGCAACGATTGTGATAGGGATGTCACTGGTGGTGGAGACGATGGTGGTGGCGGTTGTGACATGATAGCCCCCATATTTGTGCTTACGATCAATGTGGTAGTAAGGATTGCAGTGGTTTCGGTTAGCTTGGCGATGATGGCATCGAGGCGGTTGTTGTTAGTGATAGTTATGGCAACGAGTTGAGCCAATTGGTCGAATATGGAGGCAAAAGACTCTTCCCGGTGGAGAGGCATTGTGAGTTCGGGAATAAAAGCACCAAATGATAGCGACCGATTCGAGGTGGTCAGCCTCCCAAGAATAATAGAAAGGAAGATAGGTGAGAGCCGATTATGGATGGCTATTCCCCAAGAACAAAGATAATGAAATAGACTAAAACATACTTTTTCCTACATCTCCTTCATAATGCAAATACATCCATATATATAACTAAAATAATCCTACTACTAGCTAATAATAAGGAAAACATGTAATCATGGGTAATGAAAACGTGTACTAGTAACTAAATGGAAATATGCATGCATGGTTGGAAGCTTCCAGGAGGTAAGGTTGGACTTTTTCAATTGCAAAGTAATGCCGACGTGTGAACCATATTATCAATCCAGTTGGGCCATGAAGGTGACCTCAGGTATAACCCTAGACACGTATCACACCACAAGAGGTAGTTTAAGAGAATCGAACTCTCAACCTCAGGTCCCACATAGATATAAAACTCGATGTCGTCCCACATAGGTATAAAACCCGATGCATCAACTAGCTAGACTGGACATCACTTGCATTTATAATTATATTCGATCGTAACAAAAACACTTCAAAACTATAATACTACATATCAACAATCCGTTTTTTGTTGCCTTTAAAGTTTGACTTTTTAAATGAGAATAGTGAATAGGGGATCAAACCGTTCATTTTAAAACCGAGGGTCCTCATTTTGATGAATACACGTAACTTTGAGGGGTAATTATGTAAGTTGTCTTTTAAAGCGGTAGATTTGCTCATTTGCCCAAAATTTAAATAGGATCCCAGTGCCCATCTCTTCTCCACGACAGTCGCCTCAGTCTCTCTTTCTTTGTCTTCGCCTCTTTGAGTCTTTGTAAAATCCAGAGAGAGAAACAGAGCTTGCAGCTGCATCAATGGCGTTCTTATCTTTCGTCGGCCGTGTTCTTTTCGTCTCCGTCTTCGTTCTATCTGCGTGGCAAGAGTAAGCTCCATTTCTTCAACTTCAGATCTGTCTCCTTTGAAAAATTCAGTGTGTTTTGTACGTCATCGCAATCTTCAGTACTGTATTACCCGATTCTTTTTAAATTTCACCTTTGTGGTTTCGGATCTGAAAATTTGAATTCTGTTGAGTTATTTTTCTCCGTATGTCTTCGAATTAGATGTGGTTCTAAGATTTTTGATCTGTGGAACTATAATTGTGATTTACTATTTGATACGAAATTTCATGGAGATTTATGGTCTGGTAAGGTTATTAGGTGTTTCATTTCCAAATAGAAGCAAATCCGTTTAAGAAAGTTTAGCTTTTTCAAATTATTTTGTAGTTATGGCGTAAGTTTGCTTGATTGATGAAATTGAACTATTCGATTTAATATTACACCTTGAATTTTAATATACTCGAAGCTAAATCTAGCCCCTCCCATGAAAATAGCACAAATAGATCTTGTCATGCAAGTTATTAACTTTTGGTACTATTTCATATGATAGCTTCGACATCATTACTAGCATCATTTCAGAAATCTTAACTCTTCAATCATTCACTTGAAGAGTGCAATTAGGAGTAGATGCCCTTTTCATAGTTGATAATCATATTCATGGTGTACTTTTGTTTCTTACAGGTTTAATGACTTTGGAGTTGATGGTGGATCTGCAACAAAAGCCATTACACCAAAATTCAATCTCCTTTCAAAGCATTTCACAACACATACAGGCTTACAAGTGCCTGATTTTGAGGTAATACATTTCATAATTTACTACTTTACTTTCAAACATCTGTAATTTACATTATTGTGGATGATTTACATATACAGATCAAAATCTTGGTTGCTGGAGCCATAGCTTTTAAAGCCGTTGGAAGCATTCTTTTCATCTTTGGAAGTACCATTGGTGCTACTCTCCTGGTTAGCAATTACTGTTTCCAAAAAAAAATAAATCAATTTTTCTGTTTTCTTTTTAAAAAAATTCAATTGGGTAATCTTTAATTGTTTTAACACATGTTTACAGATTGTTCATCAGTTGATTGTTACTCCCATGTTATATGACTTCTACAACTATGACATTGAGAAGAAGGAATTCCTTCAACTTTTTATCAAATTTACACAGGTTAGAAAAAAAAAGGCACATCCTTTTCTTTGTTTACTTTTATAATTTAATCTTTTATTTGGAAAATAAGTTTGATTGTTGGTTGGGTTTTGTAGAGTTTGGCATTGTTGGGGGGACTTTTGTTCTTTGTTGGAATGAAGAACAAGAACTCTATTCCAAAGAAAACTTCTGCAACAAAGAAGACTCACAAAACAAAGACTGTTTAAGAGAGAAAGATGATGTTGTAAGGTTGCATTAAGATTTTTCTAGATTTTTGTGCCATTTTATGCACTTCTTTTGTATGGATTATGTTTAGTTTTGTTGTTGTTACGGAATTATGCAAACATTTTTTGAGTTGGTTTTTAGTTTAAGATTTCTATTATTAATTTATTTCGCTCTCTTATCTTATCTTTACTTGTGATTATTGTTTTTTCCATTTAAAATAATGCGATATATATATATATATATATATATATATATATATATATATATATATATATATATATATATATATATATATATATATATATACACAAGCCATTTACCCGCGTCAAGCGACAGGTGTGGATAATTTTTTCAGAAATTAATTTCTAGAGTTGATAAGTTCTTTTGTTCAAAGAATTTATTACATCTAAACAATTATCAATAAAAGTCATGCTAGCAGAAAAGAAATCAGTAAGAATTAAAAATGAAAAGTTAAGATTCTTTACAAATATACATGAACACATTATTGATTATGCATTATTAATCGTGCAACAATTCTTTATACACAACATTTGCTTAGTTTCTTTTCGACATACAGTGATTAGTTTCAATTTAACGATTCGGTTACTTTACGACGAACAATATATTCTTTAATGTATTCGTCGCTTCTGTGTATGTTGGATAAGTGTTTTCTTATATTGGATCCATTGTGTTGAAGTTTAGATCTAGGGTAGTAATCTTAGTTTAGGTAAATTATAGACAACTTTTAATCATGTGAAAACCTACAATCAAAACTCGTATGGATGTAACTACCACTTTTATCTCATTCAAGTGTTTAAATTAAGCTACTTTAAAATGACGGTTGCTAAACATTACCACTTTTGTATATATTTCAAGTCGTTAACTGAACCTACTTTACGATGAAAGTTGCTAAATATTAGATCACTGTCACCAACGTAAACACCTTTAGACTTCTACATTTTGTTTATAAGCATATGATGATTTACATTGGTCCATGGTTAACCATCTTGGAGGATTTTGAATAATGAACCGAGGTATTCCTTGCAGAATCTCAAAATCAATCCATTTTATATCGAATTTAAAATTTTAGGCCATTTAACCTTAAAAGTACTCCATCACTCCATCCCCTAAGGCATTACTTGTGTGATGCTTTGAATCCGTCCGGTTTATAAAGAAGTTTCAACATTGTTCATTGGACTGCACAATCACTGAATCATTATTTCCACTCTAAGAATCCATTAAAGTAGGTCAATTACTGTCACTTTATTCCATAATATAATCGATCAACATAAACACTAAAAAACAAAACTTATAAATATACAAACAATTAGGATTGGTAGAAAAAGAGTCACAACATGTTCATAATAATATGCTTTCGACTTATTTCAAGTGATCCCGACCGTTCTTCTTTTGTACCGGTTATTTTTCTGAAACATCTTTTTTTCCGGTCTGGTTTCGTTCTAGACCAATTTGGTCTACAACTTTCTTCCTTTGCTTTTTTGGTTCGGATTCACATTTTTTTGATTCGGTTTTAGAAATTTTCAATTCGGTCTTAATCCGTTTTTTATTAAAATGAGAAATACGTAATTTAAGGATAAGTTTAATATTGGATAAATATAAAAATTAATAATATACTTCAAATTATTTTAGAATCCTGATCTTTTTTACAATATAAAAATTTTAAATTATTCTTTTATTAATTTCAAATCTTTACTTCATTACAATAACCCGGAAATAAATTTAAATTTTAACATGTTATCTACTACTATAGTTGAATAAATTTTATAGTTATAGGTTGTAACTAAAACTAATTTATAATAATAATGTTGCAACAAAACAAATACAATTCTACAATACAAATTTACCTAATTGTCATGAAAACATAAATATTATAGACATTTTATTTAAAAAACATTTTAAGTAAGTTCTTATCTTTTTAACAAACAACCAATTTAATATAAACACAATTTCATAATTAATGGATTGAAATAAATGAATATTTTAAACAATCGAAATTTAATATTATGAATCAATAGTAATTCAATACCAATATTTATGATTTAAAGGGGATACTTTAACTTTATTTTTAGTTAGACATATGAAAGTGAGTGGTACCTAAACATTTTGACAGTGAATATTTGAACAACGAAGATAATAGATTGATAGCAATGAAAAAAAAGGAAAAATCAGTTATGATGACAATTTATATTAAAAAAAATGGAGGAACACCATAATCCAAAAATAACAAACTACAATTCTATTTCAGTAAACCAACAGTAACAGAAATCACTAATTTAACATCCACCACAATTAAATAAATAGCAACAAAAGTAAAATTGTTAATCGTGGAACAAAAAAGAAAAAAAAATGTTTTTGACATGAATAACCACTACATCATCCGTCAAAATCAACATGCATAAACACAATCAAGAGATATCATATGCTATAAGCTAAAATTACCCCATAAGTTAGATCCACCTAACCTTATACAAAAGTAAGAAATTTCAGACATACCAAATCAAGAAAAATGAACACAATACATGTGAATAACATAAATTAACAGTAGAACGTAAAGAAGAAGTTGCTATTAAGACCAACCATGTTGAAATTTTGATGTATATGATAAATGAAGTGAAAAACTCACCATTCGTAAGTGAGATCAATATGAAAATGAATTAGTTTAAATACCAGATGTTAGCTAGACCTCGAATGTGTCAGGTTAGTGAAGTTCTAATTCAATCATATCATGTCATCGATGTACTAATTCACAATGTTAGAAGGCTTAGGGGTAGTTTTTGAATTCTAGAAGTACCTTCAGCTATCGGACACAGGAAATCCTGCTAATAATGTGCAGTTCCATTTTCATATAGAAGAAGGGACAACTACTGTCATTTCTTGTTCCAATATGTGACACAGAGACAACTACTACAATTTTTTGTTCCCTAATAAGCTTAGCAAGATGTATACTGATAAAATAAGAATATTTCTTCAAGCATGAAAGAAAAAAAATGCAAAATAGACAAAAACAGCACTAAAGTAAGATGTTTACTGGACATCACTCTTTGTTCTCCTTGTTGTTGTTTCATCTTCCTACATTTACAAAGTTCAAGTTCATAATCTCAAGAATTGAATGAAGAGAGAAATAGCAGTTTTGAATTGGTGAACACCGACCATAAGTAATTAAACTTTAATCAGTGTGTTGATTGAGAAAAAAATTTAAAATGGTAAGATGCACAAATACATTATGGGACACGGATTGAAATCCTCAATCTCATAGCATTCAAATGGACTTCTTTTGATAAAATCTCCTATCTGATACAAATTCCAACTTTTTGCATCTTCCCAGTTGTCTTCCGGAAGCAACTGTGATATGGTTTGAAGCGTAAAAAAAATAAACAGTAGCGGGCCTCTTCATTTGACATTTTCTTGTACTTTCGGTTTTGCATCTTTTAGACAATTCTCATGTAGAGAATAGCTTAAAACCCCATAAATATGAAATATATTGATTTGATGTAGAAATAAAACAAATAGCAAGTGAGAAAATTACCGCCATGACTGGAATCATGCATATTAAAGTCTTGAGCTTTATTCCTGAGTCCTGACATTGAACCATTTGTTGAGGATTTTTGGCTAAGAAATCTTCAGAGTAATAAATATAAAGTCAGGTTCTTCAAATTCAAAACATTCAATGATGTAAATACAATGTTAAAGGAAAAAAAAACTCATTCTTTTTGAAGATTTTGTCTCTTATTGTTCCAAAAACCTGGTAAATGTAAACACAAACTAATATAGTTACAAAAGAAACAATAGGATTGCTAGATTCAAAGAATAAACAAATTTCAGTTTCATTCACCAATATAAAGAATTTAACCAAACCATGGAATTACTCAAAGATACATAGAAGTCATCTCCAATACTTTTAAGCGTTTTGGGTTATTTCTCCTCCTTCTCTCGAACTCTTTCTTGTAAGACATCAAATAGAAGTTTAGTGAATGAACAAACCTTTATGTCAATAAAATCATTGGTTTAGGATCCCACAATGCCTTTATCACCACAGGCCCAACACCAGGTTAAGGTTTCATTGGATCCCTATTGAAGCTCGAATACCATCACATGCACACCATCAATGTATAAACAATCAAGAATCATATAAATCTATAAACAAAAAGTTATTTTTACCTCATCAAGCCCTAGGAATAACTGATTTCTAGAAATCCAAATCAAATGAATTAAGAGGATGATAGTGACCTTTTCAAACAAAAAAAACACCTTTCGGATCTAGTTTCACCAAATCAACAAAAATGTTTTTGATTTCAGGAGAGAGAGAGAGAGAGAGAGAGAGAGAGAGAGAGAGAGAGCATCAAACATTAGTGTGGAATTTATCAATGCGTGTATCTGGATGCGTTGATTTTTAAACATGTTGAACAAAAAATCAATAAACAATCAAACCTCCAATAATCTTTTTAAACGTCATAGATGAAAAAGGATAGATAACTATATATAAAACCTTATACGGTAACTGATTTGGTTGAGCTCTCCTCGGTGCAGGTACGAAAGATGAAAAAGGCACAACATTTTGCTTCAGATCTATTACCATGAATGTAGTGGTTATGGAGGGATGCATCTCGATTGAAAGCTATAGTTGGTGGTGACTTAGGAAGCAAGCGGTAATTTTTCACAGGTAGTAGGCCGACTATTCAGTGGTGGTAGTGAAGCCGATTAATAATGGTGACGAGCGGATGGCTAGGGTTTATAAAGAAAGAGGGATAGAGATCATGGTTTGTAGAGAGAAGTTTAAGATCACTCCACTACAAAATCCAATGTTACCTTTCAAATGTTAGAACTTGAGAGGATAAAATCTGCAAAATTGGAAGCATACAAAGGAGATGAGATGGCGGCACGCACACAAAATCACATTACACATGGTCACATAAACATTTTCTGTTTTTACCACATATATACACAAAATGAAACACACATACACAGACATAGCCAAACACTTACACACACCAACAATTCTACAAAATCTTATAAAACATACATTATATGGTCAATTTTACCTCTATGTAAACTAACAGATCCTATTAATTTACCACAAAAGAATCAAAAGAAAGGAATCTGACTTACTAATGAGGGAATAACAATGGAGAGGAAAAA